GGTAAATTCAAAATATATGTACCTATGACAGGGAACAGACTCCACACTGGGCAGGAAGAAGAAACAGAGCTGCTATAAACTCAAGCAGCCCTACTCCACCACATCTGCAAAGAGTAAAAGAAAGGCCTTGAAAAGAAGGAGTACAGATCAGATAGCAACTGCTTGAATAAGCGAATAAACATATTCATAGCCCAGGGCCCAGTCCTGACAACCAGGAAGCTGTAGGGACAAGAGAGGCAGGGGATGGATCCAAGGAGTTAGCATCCACTCCTTGCCACTATGAGGGAAAGGAAACTGGATCTGACACAGGATGGCATTTCTTATAACTACTGAAAGCCTGTCTGAGGCCCCCTGCAGAAAGGAAAGCCTGCTGACAATTTCCATTAGTTTATTGTTTTAAGCCCCTTTAGGACATTGATAGACCTGCAAGGGGCAGAGTCACATAGGATCAGCCACAGAACTCTGTCTCCCTGACCTAGACCCAGATGATGACTGAAGTCCAGGTGAAGGTAGGGACTACTACATCACACCCCAGAAAGGAGCTTTAAGAGTCAAAGACCATGACAATACTTGTGGGATGTTAACAAGTTTTGCATCTTGTTAGTTTGACTGACATGTTCCCTCATCCAGTACCTACTTACATCATCTTAGAAGAAAAGTTTATTTTCTTTGTGCTACATCCTCTAACGATCAGAAAAAAGTTTATTGTTTCCTTATCCCATTTCTGCAAAACACCATTTTGAGATGGTACCTGTTTTTGTTCCGAATATCTGTAAATCTGAAGTCTCAATATTTTTTGTAATGTTTGTAGTTCTATGAGCATAATAATAAGTGTTTAATATGCAACATTGTCATCTTGCTTTTTCTGTGGAAGTATAAGGTTCACATAAATACTGATGAATTTCATAGAGAGGAATGTGTTTCAAAGAGAAAAAGGTATAACTTTATAATAAAGGACAAAATCTTATTTCTCATAAAAGATAACAAAAAATTCCTTCTGTGCTTGTAAGCTCATTAACCCCCAGTCTTGTAAGTTATGACATGGACTAGTGGGGTTTTTTTCTCAGTTGAAGCTTGAGGTTAGTTGCATCTGCACAAAAAATAAGGAGGTCTTGTGTAAGACCATTTTAATCCAATTGCATTTTGAAGTTAAAGGAAAATATGATGTAATGATATACATACGTATTATTCTGCCTTCCTAGAACTTACAGAAAAGGTAACATGTAAGTAGGGGAATTTATGTACTTTTCTTCACGTTTCCTTACATCTGTACAAATGTGACTAAGTTAACTATGTAACACTTTGTACAAATGGTTTAAGTACTGATTTTATAAGGCCACTATGGGGGTTCTCTCTTTCTTTTCTTTTTAAGGTAGTGCATCGAGACCTTAAACCTAGTAATATTTTATATACGGATGACTCGAACAATGCTGACTCTATCAGGATTTGTGATTTTGGGTTTGCAAAGCAACTTCGAGGAGAAAACGGACTTCTTTTAACTCCCTGCTACACTGCAAACTTTGTAGCACCAGAGGTACGTTAAGATTATTTAATTTTATTGGTGATATCTGAAAAAGTTATATTCCATAGTCGCATTACTAAAACAAAGATGTTTTACATATCAGGATTACTAAAAATGTGTCAGTGTTCAGCTGCTTTCATATATCTGAAACTTAAACATAATTGGCACTCATTCTGTAAACATTGCATAATATAGCTATTTATTAGAAGCTTGCTTTCTGAATAACAAAATGTAATCTAATGTAATTTGGGGATACTCAAGTCTTTATCCTATCCTCACTGCATAGTGACCTAACTTCCTTTCTTGTCTGGGTATATTTCTAAAAGCCTTCAACTGCTTTTATTTCCTTTAAAAGTTCTGACTGAGCTCGCCTTCTGGCTCTTCTCACTTTATTCCTATTTTCTGACTTCTATAATGTCTTTCTTTACTGTTATATCCCCTCTTCCATTTCATACAGGCTTTCTGCTTAGTCACAGCACACTTTTTGAAATGATTATTCATCCAGTTATATCTAGAACTCTGCCCTGCCATTTTCCCCCCCTTTGCTTCGGATTCAAGTCCCACAAAATTTTTGGGCATTTGACTTCAGTATGAAGGAAGCTTTGAATTTTAAGTCTCTGAAGTTCTCAGTCCTATTTAGTACTTTGTTCTCTCAATTTTTTGTTTTGTCCTTTTGAAATTGAAAACTTTAGGTACTAGTTTTTGCTTATCTGTTGTTTTTCATTTGATTAACTTGTGATTGATATACCCAGTGCTTGCATCACCTCCAGTACTTGCTGATTTGCTATCATTGTCTTTTCTGCTGCCCTACCCTTGAAGAATGAAACCCTTCCAAAACGTCCTTTTTTCTTATAAAAATCAAGTGTAAAGATTAGGATGGGGGTAGCCCCGGACCTGGGTCCAGACCTGAGGCTCTCCCAATTGTGATGTCATACGTTCAGTTGAAAGTGACTTACAAACCAGCCACGAAGATCTTCTGGTGTGTGTGTGTGTGTGTAATTACTATATGCATTTATTTTTTGATAAATACATATAGAACATCTCTGTGGCTGGTTAGCCATTTTATCATGTCATAAATTGGCTGAACATGTGGCATGTTGCAATTAATATATTACTCATGCCATAAATGAAACATCTGCAGGGTCCTGTCTATGCCTGTCTCTGTAAAGAAGTGGCATCTTTCTTTCTTTGCCCCTTCCCTGTTTTTATTATTTTTTCTTTTCATTCTCAAAATGCAGCTAACTTTGTTCTTTATCTCTGTCTCTCATTTCTGGCTTATCTTTATGATCATGTTGTTCAGTGGGTCATTCCCCTTACTGGCAGTTTGTTCTCCCATTCCTTGTTTGGCATTTGTCTTGAGTTGTAAGTATCCTCCTCTTCCTGCTTGTCTACAAATTCTTATGAATGCTTCCTCTCCACAAAATCTGCGTCTTCAATTCCTGAATCTTCTTTCACAAAGTTTTATTAGGCAATAGTTCATGCTTAAATAGCTTTAGTCAGGTATGCACTGAAGAATAGTATGCATCTTGAACCTTTGGAATGAAGGTTAATTTCTTTTCTTTTCTTCCTTGCATCACTTCCAGTGTTTCATTATTTGCTATCATTGTCTTTTCTACTTCCCTACCCTTGAAGAATGAAACACTTCCAAAATGTCAATAAACTTTCATTCATTAAGTATGAAGGACAGGTCTTTTGAAAAAAGGTTGTCTCACATTTAAAAATGAACTTTTTAGCTTTTTTTACAACGCAGAAATAAGGAATATAATTCTTTAGCAGTATAATGAAAGAATATGGGCAACACCTTCCGTGGAAACTTCCTCAATCTCTTCAGTGCATGATATTGATTCTCTTCATGATAGCTTTTATTTAATAGAGTTAAAAATGTTTTTTTCCTTTTGGAATGTAAATGCATGACTTCCTGAAGAATGGTTCAAATCCTTTTGCCTTCTTAAAAGGCAAAAAAACTAACTGATTGGATAATCTTGTTACATAAATTTGATATATAACCAAAATTTATATATATATTTTTGCCCTTCAACTTATTCATTAAATCTGTCTATACCATGGGTTAGTTTCTGTACTCCTTTGGTTTTATTCCTGGAGTCTGTTGCAGTTTCCCTACATTATCAGACATTGCTAGTGCTCTAAAATGGTGGTTTAACTTAATCAGAATTTGTGTTCCTTTTATGTTTTGTATGCTACTGCTCTGTAAAACTACTACTCTGCCTCAAAAGATTCAGTTCCAAATAAATTTACTCCTTAACTATTTTACTTCATAGTAAAGAATAATGAGAGGACTGGCTCTCCCAAGTTGGGTTGCCTCCTGCATTTTACAACCCCTGAACACTAGGCAGTAGGGTCCTGGTTTGCATTGAGCAAACAACTTCTGGATGCAATTGAGTGCCAGAATGGGCACAAGGCAGTTTCATGTACTAACTTTCCCACACAATAAAGTTATTACACATTTTTAAGGGGTAACTTTTGTCATAGATTTGTGTGATTTACTTACTGTTATGTAGTAAGGCTACTATGTCTGTTCAGATTCCCCTGCATTTCTTTTAGTGAGCTGTCTATCCTTTGGATCATAATGTAAACCTACGAGGTCTAGTCGTGTGCCTGATGAATCCACTTGTGGCTGACAAGCTCAGTTTGAGTGGCGCAGCTTTTTACAAGTTACACAAAGCCATGTGGTGTTGAGTTCTAGTCCAAGTTTACAGCACACTGCTTTCTTCTGTCTCACTTTGCTTTCATCCTCTGGATCAAAGCAGCTTCATGTTGTGCTGCACCCAGTGCCGTATGTTTCCTCCAGATTGGGTGGGATTCTGTGTGCTACTCCCAGCTTTCTCCACTGATGTTGAATGACTTCATATAATTTTTGCACATCATGGAACTGTCACAGAAGAGGACCCTGCTTTCTAAAGCTGTGTTTTTAATCTCACTGTACAAAATATTCTTGGGGATGCAGTCTCCTCCCATTCTCCTGACATGGCTGACCTATCACAACCTCCTTTTCTTGATCATGGTTTCCAAGTATGTTAGTCCTGTACGCTCTGTGTTTGGTATTTTGTCTTCCCACTTTATTTTCAGGATCTTACGCAGGCATCTCATGTGGAAGCTGTTCAATCTTTTGATGTGTCTAGCACATGTAATCTATGTTTCTGAACTGTAAAGCAGGGATGACAGCACACAAGTCTTGTAGATTCTTCTGTAATAGCCTGAAATTCTTAGCTGCTTTTCCGATTATTAGTTCAGTCTGGAGGTCAAGATTCCAGCTGATCATAGAACCCAAGTAACAAAAGCTGTCGATGACTCCAAGAGATTTACCCTCCAGAGTGATGTCGGGTATTGATTCTTCTATCCCTAGGTACATGGTCACAGTCTTCTTAAGGCTAATTGTCAGACCAAAACTCTTGCACGACTCAGAACGTCTTCCCAAGAGACTTTGCAGGGAAGATTCACTGTGGGCAACCAAGGCCATGTAATCGGCAATCAGAAAATCTCTCAGAACCATCTTTCACCTTGGTTTTTGCTGTAAACCTTGTGATGTTGAACAAGCCTCCATCTAGTCTGGTTTGAAGATAAATTGCTGTCCTTGAATGCTAAGACACACCGCAGTTTCACCCCATTGTTGACATCAAAGGCATTTGATTCTTTGTTTTTATACACTACAGTTGCCTTCAGACCTTAATGTAATGAGCGAATATTCAAAAGTTTGGGGGATCAACCCAGTTTCTTCAGCACAGTAAAAAGGCTCCGTCTCAACCGTATTGAAGGCCTTCCTCAGATTGTTGAGGGCTATTTACGGTGCTATTCATTTTTCTCTACACTTCCTTACAATATTTTCAGTCAAGCAACTGTATCAGTGGTGGAGCGTCCTAAGTGAAAACCACATGGACTTTTAGGATAGATTTTTTTTCACCTAGAGATTGGAGCCCAGGGACCATAATGTTAGTGACAATTTTTCCAATGATATTCAACAGGGAAATACCTCTGTAGTTGTCACAGTTGCTTCTGTCCCCCTTGTTTTTGTATAATGGTACAAACCAACCATCTTCAAAATCTTGTGGTACCGCTTCCTCTTTCCAACTGAGCAGTATAACTTCACGGAGCTTTTGAAGTACTTTGTCATTGGCACATTTGTAGATTTCAGTAGGCAAGCAGTCCTTGCCAGATGCCTTGTTCCCAGGGATCAGTTTTAATAGTTTTCTGCAGATCTGACTTCAAACTGTGGTAATCCCTCAAGCTCTTCATGTTTGACTTCATTCTCACTGGAGTATAGAAGGCAGTGGTGTTCAATCCAGCACTCGAGTTGTTTTTGTTTATAAGTGGTGTGTTTTTTTGTTTTTTTTTTTACTGCATATCATGCTGTATCTTTTTATCTTGGAGGCTTATAATAGCCAGTGTTTTCATTATCTTGTTTATATTTTTCCAAGAGAGCATTTAAAGTAATCATGCTTGCTCTCCCATGTTTTCCAGCCCCTCCATTTCCCCCACTCGCACCCCCAGCTTTTTTCCTTTGGATAATGCTGCATCTCTTCTGCTTTAGGTCATACAGTTCTACCATGTGTCTTGTGTACCAGAGTGGTATTTTCAAAGAAAACATTCCTTTTAGAGATGGAGTAATATTATATTAAAACACTAAAAATATTGTACACTTACATATCTCTGAAGCTTGCTTAAATACAGGACTGAAAGGCTGGCTTAATTATGGAATTTCTTCCATGGAAGTTTTCTTTGGCTAAGGGTGCTAAGATTAGGTTTATATAGTATTATGACCAATATAGCTCTGTTAACATCTCAAGAAATATTTTGAGCATAATGGAAATAACTGTGATTATCCTTGCCCTGTCCCGTCAGACTGAAGACAAAGGAAAACCTTCAAAATATTTTGATAGTTTAAGTGAATGTAAGTGTAAATCATGTTTGTTTAATCTTCTGAAATAATATTGGGATTATTTTACCCTTCCTATAGTTTCTACATGCATCAAGTAAATAGAAGTTTAATAGCTCTTTATTTTATAGGTTCTCATGCGACAGGGATATGATGCTGCTTGTGATATATGGAGTTTAGGTGTCCTACTTTATACAATGCTAGCAGGGTAAGAACTTTCTCACAGCTTTAATGCTTCTTGTTTAATTCATGGTAATTTTGGTTTGATATACACATATAGGTATTCAGATCTGACTGCAGCGCTGAGATTTGATTACGTGTGATGGTTCAAAAAATTGTTCTGTTAAATTTTATTCTGGGCAAATAAGGTATGTTTTTGTTCTCATTGGTAACAAATTACATAAAACTTTTTGGCTTTGTGCCACATTGGACATATGCAGATTATAGTATAGTGCCTGCATTTAGATGAATGCTTCCTTAATTCAGCAGTTTCCTCTACGTAGTAACATTTAAAACAAGTTAGTGGAAGAATGTGAAACCTAGAATCAGTTTAAGTGTGCTGTCAACTTAATGGTAACATCATTCAGACAAGTACCTGCAAGTATAAGTAATATCTAAGACATTACTGTAGCTGAAAGATGAGATAAATTCCTCTTAATTTCAGTTTTACTTTGTGCAGTTGTCAGAATTGTCTCTGGAGTTGGTTTTGCTGTTTCCTCTATATAACTAATTTTTTGAGGATGTGCGCAACTTTTAGATAGGAATGTATACACATCTTTTAAAGAAAATGTGGTACAAAAATGACAGAATTCTGTAGGGAGATCCACATTCGCAAAGTATCTGAAGCAGCTTTTTACTGATCAGGCTTCAGGGTAACAATGCACGTCAGCCTTCTTTAGCAACGTTCCAGATAAAAAAAATTGAAGTGCATATTTTTTTAATAGAAGATTTCATACATTTCATAAACATTTGGGCTGGAAGGGACCCCGGAGGATCATTGAGTCCAGCCCCTTGCCCCAGGGGCAGGAAGTCAGCAGGGATCATAGGATCCCAGCAAGATAAGCATCCAAATGTGTCTTGAAGGCGTTCAGAGTGGGTGCTTGAACTGCCTCCAGTGGCAGTCTATTCCAAAACTTGGGGCTTGGACAGTGAAGAAGTTCTCTCTTATGTCCAGCCTGAATCGATCGCGATGGAGTTTGTGACCATTCAATCTCGTCATCCCTTGGGGCGATCTGGTGAACAGATGTTCCCCCCAATCCTGATGAGCATCCCTGATAAATTTATAGGTGGCCACCAGATCACCCCTG